CAACCAGAGCTTTCTTTTTAATGTTGTATTCTGCCCTCATAAGTGTGTCAAAGTTATAAAAGTGACGCGATTGCATCACCTTTATTGACTGCCACACACACCTATGGTTTTTCATAGGTACTGGACATACATGTATGGTATCTTCAATGATGTAACAGCAATCTCAAGAACTTTGACATATTTCAGGAATGCACAGAGTTCAAGTCCAAGGGGCAGTAATCAATCAGAAGACTAATTTCTATGACAGGACACTGCACTGTTAACACTGCAAAGCCACCAAGATGGAATGCAAGCACGAGCAGGATGATTTATGAATGCAGGGATCAGAGTGGAACCACAGTGTAAATGTTTTCAAATTTCGACAATATTTCAAGCATCTGAAAACGCCCACGTTTGATCTGACGGATGCGATTCTTGATCTAGCAAAACAGAAAGAAATGTAGATATGAAGAAGGAAGAAAGAAAGACAGAGCACGAGCAGGATGATTTATGAATGCAGGGATCAGAGTGGATCGACTCACAGTGTAAAGTTCATACATGTTTTCGACAATATTTCAAGTATCTGAAACACCCACGTTTGATCTGACGGATGCGATTCATGATCTAGCAAAACAGAAAGAAATGTAGATATGAAGAAGGAAGAAAGAAAGACAGAGCACGAGCAGGATGATTTATGAATGCAGGGATCAGAGTGGAACCACAGTGTAAATGTTTTCAAATTTCGACAATATTTCAAGCATCTGAAAACGCCCATGTTTGATCTGACGGATGCGATTCTTGATCTAGCAAAACAGAAAGAAATGTAGATATGAAGAAGGAAGAAAGAAAGACAGAGCACGAGCAGGATGATTTATGAATGCAGGGATCGGAGTGGAACCACAGTGTAAATGTTTTCAAATTTCGACAATATTTCAAGCATCTGAAAACGCCCACGTTTGATCTGACGGATGCGATTCATGATATAGAAAAACAGAAAGAAAGAAATATAGATATACCCGGTAAAGAAGGAAGAACGAAAGATAGATATGAAGAAGGAAGAAAGGAAAGAAGGAAAGAAAGAAAGAGAGAATAGAGAACATTACCAATGGACCCGTTGCCTACAGAAACTTGTTGGCTCCTGTGTAGCCTAATGGAACTTTCAGAGAATTCAGTAGTCAATTGTTTAACAGTAGAAAGTTAAATGTAGAAACTGAGAAGTCAGAGATTATGCTTGGGGCTACATTAACATTTGCATTTGAATAGGTCTACAAAACTTGCATTTGGCCAAGTAAAACACATTTTCCAATTTCTTGCCAAGAATAGTGGAAAGTGAAGAGGGGGTTCCTACTAGGAGATATTTCCTGTATGACTGGTACATTATGTTGGGGGCAACATATTAATAAAAATGATATTTCGCTTATAGCTTAATACATCAATGTTGTCTCTAAGCACTTTACAAATGCCCGTACACAATGTATGCACATTCTCCACTCCTTTGGGAACATTCCAGCCGGGCGCTATTTTATAGACACTCACATTAAAGTTTGCACGCTACAGGGTACCCATTTAACACCTGGGTGGAGAGTGGCAAATGTAGATTATCGTTGTTAGTGCCGGGCTGGGATTTGAACCCTGTATGTTGTGATCTGCAGTTGGGAGACTTATCCACTAGACCACAAACCTCTACAATTCATCAAATTCCATTTGTCTACTCATTCTAAAGACTCAAAACTTGATCAAATTTATACTAAAAATCCTTTTGATTTTTTGTACTATCAGTATTTTGACAAATTTTTCTTCATTTCATTTGAAATTTAAAAAAATATCAAATCCAACATAAGAGGCAGGTGAAAAAAGAGAAACATTAAGCCTTTAGCCATGAGAAAATAGAAATCAATTTTACTTGGCCAAGGATGGAAGATAGGACAGTTCAAGAATGAATTGCATGCATATTTGCTCAGGGGCAATTCTAAATAGTTTTTCAACATAGTTTCCAACAATTTATATTTCAAAAGTGACACACAATACAAAAGCTATCTCTTGATAATTCTAAATTACCACTTTCACACATGGAAGTCTCAAACAAATGAATGTCTGAACAAAATTGTACAGCCATTTCTTTCTGAATTACAGTGTAATTAAATTTTGTCCTTCAAGTTATTGAAAAAAGTATTTTTTGTGATGGAGATATTTCTTGCACATATTACAATAATTTTTACATCAACTAACTTGAAAAAGAAGAAAATGTGCAATTTTTCCGGAAGTGAAATAACCCTCATTCCATTAAAAAACAAACATCTGCATGTAGCTGTAACCAAACACATGCCAGCAACTTACAGTACATACGGGGATGGGCCTACAGTGTACACGACATGTACGTTCTGACTCTGTTAACACAAGACAGGTGAGAGTGATATATAATCAATCTTCAGTCTATGTAATTGAATAATACAATTTATGATTTTCTTGTACAAAAGCAAATTGAATTTTATCAACGAGCGGAGGTCAGATAAATTTGCATCGTCATTTTGTCTTCTCAATATGAAATTTGAACTTGACATGGTAAAGACAGTTTAAGGTAAGAATTGCAGTGGTTTTTTGTGTTTCTTTCTTTCAATATTATGCCCCTCTCTTTCTTTCTCTCATTCTCTGTCTCTCTTTCTTTCTCTCATTCTGTCTGTCTCTCCCTTCTCTCCCCCCCCCCCCCCCACACACACACATGACTTACATATTGGGAATTGCAAGACAATGCCCCGTAAGCCAGATAAGATTAGCTAATAATTCTGCTATTTTTGGCAAGTTCTCTCAACTAATTTTGGCCTTTTGGGATGCATGGAAGTAACCTTGCCTGTCATCATGATTTGATGACAATTTTGTATCCCCCCCCCCCCCCCCTCCATACACACAGACACAGAAGAGTCACAAACGTTTGGGGCTATGCCAATATCCCAGCTGCATGCACTCATGATGAGCCAAAACATTATTGGTTACAGGGGTTGTACGTAACATTGTGCAGATTGGCCACTGATTTGATCTATTTGGTAAAACACAAGACCAATTACCAAACCATCTTGTCCTGTAAGAGGATTCCTGTGTATTCATGAGAGTCAGATTTTCAGGTACTTGTGAGAGTAAAAAATCTCTCTGTTGCCTCGCCTAATTAGAAATTCAATAGCATATGAGCTAGGGTGACATAAATATGGGCATCTTTTATTACATGTAAAAGCTGGCTAGCCTGGTTGGGTTAACATGCCAGTAACTACATGAAAAATGCTTGACACATAAGTTTGGATGATCAAGCACTATACTCGTAATGTAGCTTGCATCAATGCTTACTTTTTGGGGCCTGAAGTTATAGGTTTACATCTAGATTTAGTTAGTTATGGTCTTTTCTGATTCCCACAAGGGTGTGCCAAGAATAAAATAAATCTCATATTATTTGGGTAGCAAGAACATTGAAACAACAATAAACACTTAATGGAATATTTCTTTCAAATGTAATAGGGGAGAATTAGAGCACAGTTTGATTTGCCCCACCGAGTGCCTCAGAGAGAGGGAGACATCAAGCAGGAAATCCACAAATTTATTACAACGATGGATCTACTGACAGGGTACTACACCCAAGCCAAGTGGTGAGCCATATGCATGGCTAAATATAGAGCCTAAATCAGCCTACGGAGAGTTCTCTAGACATGCTACATCACTACAGATCGACAATAAAAAACTCACTGTCTGTCTACAACTTAAAGTTGAGTATAAGGAGATGCCCTTTTAACTTCAAAGGGCCTTGCATTGTCTTGATCCTAAATTGCATAATATATTTCCTTCTACCCTGAAAAGTAAAATGAAGGCGTTGTTTAGTAGGCTTGCATGTTTATAAAGCTATCTAACAACAAATTGTTAATCAAGAATGATATTGATAGTCGTTTACTTATCAAATCTTCAATACACAGACAGCATAAATGATTTTGTTCTACAGATATTATAGTAATATATAGAGACCATTGATTGTTTTTACTTGCTGACACTGTTTGTGTTAAAGGGAAAGTCCACCCCAAAAATAAGTTTGTTTCGATAGAGGCAGAATAATAAGAAAATCAGGTGAGTGAAAGTTTGAGCAAATTCTGAATGAAAATAAGAAAGTTATGAATTATTGAAGTTGTGATCAATCAAATACAAATTGGCAACTCTGTGACTTATTATACGAGCTCTCCTTCATTTGCTTTGTGCATAATATTCCATAAAATCATGTTTTCTTCGTTATTGATGACGGAATATATATTTGTTCCTTGCAGGGGGAGTATAGAAACATATTTGCAATTATTATATTTAGGGTGCATGTATGGTTGAAATTTTTCTTGAGGGAAAATGAAAATTTTAGATTTTTTTAGTATTGAGCAAATGGAAGTTGAGCTCGCATGATACGTCATAGAGTTGCCAATTTGTGTTTGATTGATCACAACTTCAAAAATCCTAACTTCCTTATTTTTAATCGGAATTTGCTCAAACTTTCACTGACTTGTTTCTCTCATTTTTCTACTCCTTTTAAAACTAACTTAATTTCAGGGTGGACTTTCCCTTTAATTAATGCCGAGTCTTTTAGTCATTCAATCATGCCATACAGTAAAAATATAAATGCAACAATTCACCATAACAAGGGATATTGCACCATTTTTTTCAATCCATTTTCAGGACTGAGAGACAAAGACAAAGAGAGAGAGAGAGAGAGGAAGAGAGAAAGAAAGAAAGAGATAGAGAAAGAGAGAAAGAGAAAGAGGTGGCATGGCATGGTGGGAGATTTAATGAAAGAGAAAGCTGTAAGTTCTAGTACTAGTAGTAGTATGCCTACTACAAGCAGAAATAGAAATTAGAATGAGAGAGAGAGAGAGAGATCAATTAAACTAAATTCAATCAATTAAATCTGTCATAAAAATTAAAGGAAATGTCCTGCCAATGCGCAGCAGCATGCAACATTAGCTGAAGATCTGCCGCCATTGACTGTAATCTATTCTAGGACTTACCTCCGTGTCCAGTGTATCCCCATTCACACATTTTCGTGTAGTGTTCTTCGGTAATTACAGCAGACAAATGTAGAGAGAGAAGAGATTTTCTCAACTCAATTAGCAAGCTTCACCCGTCAGTGTCGAACGATCAGAACAGAGTGGCAGGCATCTTCCGGACCTTGCTCACTACATCACAAAAGTTCTTCTACATTTCACTTCTCTGAAAAAGGATAAACGTTAATAAAAAGGACGGCCCCTCTCCATTGTGCGATGGCATGACATTCAAGCTCCTGATGATGGCGGTGGTTCATTCAGCAGCTGCTGAATGGTATTACGTCACGCCCACAAAAGCAATGAGAATCAAAAGGAAACATAACAAATTGCTCTAGGTCGCACCCCCTTTGGGCGCGGTTTACCAATACATGTGCACATGGAATAATATTGGTATCGCGTGCAAAAGTTATGTTTTACACATTATTCTGGGCATAAATAAACTTACTTACTTTGTATACTTGGATGTAGAGACTGGAAGCTTAGCTTAATTTATCCCCCTTTACTGTTGCACCCAGTCTCAAGTATGGTTCAAACTTGATTGGATTTTTTTCTCGGCCAATACCTTTCTAGGGATATATTTCAAAGTGACATAATTCGAATAGACATTCGAATGTTACTTGTTGTTGTACGAGGTGTCGTCATGTAGGCAATTAACTTGAAAACTTAATTTTGACTCAATTTCATGTGAATATAAGACTGATATATATTGGGGGGGGGGGGTGCCGGGGGCAAATGCCCACCGCATTTAGATCAGATACTGATTTATTTTTTTTAAAGCAAATTAGCTGTCATGGCCAAACTCTTTTTGGAGATCCGTTTGATCGCAAGGAGGTCTTCATTGGGTAATTTTGTTGCTTCTTATTTTCTACCCATCCGGTCTGCGAATTTTTTTTCCGTACTCGAGAGGGCAAATACCCCATGTGCGCATGCGCGTGGACTTGTGATTTCTCTGCTACTTCCCATACGAAATGTACATGTATTCGCATCTACTGTGCACGATTCGCGTTCTACGAGTAAACGATGGCATAGTAGTCTTCAAACACAGACTCTGATTTGCCAGTTTGACAAAACAATTACGCATATATCGTGCGTAGCAATAGTACTAGTATTCAAGTCTGAGTAGTTGTATGATTCAGACATTTTAGTGCTTACAGAAATGCATCCCAAATTGAATAGCATGGTATAGTAGTCTGCAAGCACAGACGCTAATCGGACAGTTTGACAACACAAACACAAGATGATTGAATCATTTATTTCATCATGTGTGTTTGTTCTATCACGATTTTATTATTAATTTGACCATGGATTATACTGACAAAGGAGTTATTAGACCAAAGTTAGAAATATTATTACAGAATGACGGTTTTGAGAAGGCCAATAAATGACCTCATGGTGTGTGGGTTTGTTCAGAGCCAGAAGGGCATTCGTTGTGTTAAGAGTTAACATCCTTCTGGCTCTCAGCAGACCATGATTATAAATAAAAGTAATACAGAGAGTGCGAGCATACTGGAGGGAGGGCTAGAGAGAGAGAGAGAGAGAGAAAGAGAGAGAGATATGGAGAGAGAGAGAGAGAGAGAGAGAGAGAGAAAGAGTGTGAGAGAGCAGTGGCACAATACATAGGCCTACCATGGGGTCTGGAATCATTAAACTACACAAACTTGCATAAAATCACTACTCATCAATACACAATATATTATTATGTCCTTGCAGACTACTATACTACACTCTACACATTGAGATGCATTTCTAACGCACGCACCAGTAGGGTCTGAATCATACATCTACGCAGACTTGAATAAAGTACTTCTCAGCACACTACTAGTATGTTGTCAAACTGTCAGATTAGCGTCTGTGCTTGCAGACTACTATACCATTCTATACAAGTTGGCGACTTGAATAAAGTACTTCTCAGCACACTACTAGTATGTTGTCAAACTGTCAGATTAGCGTCTGTGCTTGCAGACTACTATACCATTCTATACAAGTTGCAATGTATTTCCATATGCACTACTGGGTCTGAATCATACAACTACACAGACTTGAATAAGCACATCGCGACACATACGCATATTGATTTGTCAAACTGGCAAATCAGAGTCTGTGTTTGAAGACTACTATGCCATCGTTTACTCGTAGAACGCGAATCGTGCACAGTAGATGCGAATACATGTACATTTCGTATGGGAAGTAGCAGAGAAATCACAAGTCCACGCGCATGCGCACATGGGGTATTTGCCCTCTCGAGTACGGAAAAAAAATTCGCATCCGGTCTACCCGCATGTTGGATTTCCCATTTTAAACAGAGAGGGAGGAATGGCAAGAACTGGAAGGGCCCTTGCGTTTTCATAGGTAAAAATTGTTTCTTTTATTTCATGCTGACCTGCAATACAACGATCTAACAGCTAGGGAATAGAGCTTTATCGACCCTGGATTTTTTTTTGGTGCCGCGTGCTACAACAAAGTAGGCGGAGAAAATCACTTTGTAACTTCCATGTGATGATTACAAATATCAGCTGTCTGCATCAAGTGGTATATTGAGGTTAGATGAGCGCCAAGTAGTTCGTTGTTTTTTTGTCAAGTTACTTCCCCCCCCCCCCCCACAAGTAAATTCTTCTCCTGGCGCATAATGAACGCATAATGAGAGCAAATATTACGATCCATTTCTCATAAAGATTTTTTTTTTACAAAGGGTCTAATAATTATTATGTGCTTATAGCGCCTAACTCTTACTTTATAAGCGCTCTACAATAATGCGGCATACGGGGCGGCATAATTACCCTGGCTTTAGCAGAGCACCTGGGTGGAGTGGAGTACAATGTGGATGAATTTCTTGCTGAAGGAAATTAACGTCATGGAATGGGATTCGAACTCACGACCTTATAAGATTGAAAGACGAGAGTCAGAACCACTACACCATGACGTTTCCACAGTGCTAGAAAATGCTTATACTCTTGGGCGAGGGCACCAATCTGAGGGATGTTATATTTATTCCAAACCTCTCCTATTTTATTAAACCAGCCAGATGATGTTGATAATGTCTACATGGAACAGTAAAGTGGCTAAACTTGGGGCGTGCCCCAAACCTGTGCGTCCCCCCCCAAAAAAAAAAACACACAACATCATCCCGATCTGCCATTGCAGGTACATGGCAATATACACTGTTCTTGGCACCTGTATTATTGCATTACCCATTTGTACACATTATGTTTCTCTCTCTCCCTCTCTTTCTCTCTATTTCTTCACTATCTCTCTCTCTCTCTCTCTCTCTTTCTCTCTCTCTCTCTCTTTCTTGCACGTCCTATTCCTCTCTCTTTCCCCTTTTTCATTCCCCTCGCCCTCTCTATCTCGTACATTATTTTTTTTTTAAATTAATTTGAAAAATTAAAAAAATCCTTCTAAATGAGGTTTCCTTTTTGAAAAAAAGTAGAAACATCTCGTCTGTGATCCTTCATGATCTATTACACTCACTTGTCATCATGATGTGTAATACAAAAGTCTGTATCTCTTGCTCAGGCGCTTAGCAAGGGGGTGGTTGGGCGGTCGCCCCTCAAAAAAACGCCGGCCCAAACAAAGCAAGAGAAAGAGAAAGAAGAAAGGAAGAGGACGTAGGAAGAAAAAGGATAAAGAGTCGAGAACGGTACAACGAATCGTCTTCTTTCTCTAATAATTTAATGAAACGTCAAGGCTTCCGCGCTTCGCGCGGGAGGGGGGGGGGAAGGAACTGAATTTAGGTAAGGATTAAGAGTCGAGAACGGTACAACGAATCGTCTTCTTTCTCTAATAATTTAAGGAAACGTCAAAAGAAACTGAATTTAGACAAGGATTAAGAGTCGAGAACGGTACAATTACGAATCGTCTCCTTTTTCTAATAATTTAATGAAACGTCAAAAGAAACGGGGGAACCTCCATCCCCTGCAACCATCCCCCCCCCCCCCTTCCCAGGGAACGAGCTTCACGTGCTCACTACCGCCCCCTTAAATAAAATCCTGGCTACGCGCTTGCTCTTTCTAAGTCGGGAGATAATATTTAAAGAGCTTAGTTGTTGTAATGTCGAATAAGACTTGGACCATCACTAGTTTCCATTGTAAAAGAATGGGCATAGAAATGAATGGCATTTGTCAACAGAGTTCAACGCAGTTCGTCTATAGAGGAGCTGGTGGAGCCCCCGATTTCAATAGGTCACATTTTTTCTTTCCTTTTTGTAATGCAACGCCCGCGGCTCTACCCAGGGGGTAAAAAGTTGGTTCTTGAGACATGGAATGTTGTAAGAGGTTGTTGGGTGTCAACATGTTCAGGGGACCTCCCTCCGCTTTTTCTAGGTGAACTATACCTTGACAATATGCTGCTGGAGATAAAAGGCCGTCATGTATAATTACTGATGTACAATTCTGAAATTAATCAATTTTTTAAAATCATTTTTCCAAAAATATGAATTGCAACCCAAAACCCATTTCTCCATACTTTCTAACAATAAATTTAAAGTGCTCTAAAGACACTTTAATATGAACCAACTCGACAATTTTGGTTGCTAAGGGCTGTCTTCTTCTTGGCAATAGTAACATAGTGACAGGAAATACTGTATATATCGCAAAAATATGTTATCATCAATTTTAAGCAGATGACTACTTTGATAGGAAGTGTGATGTCAGATGATGTAGATGCATCATATTGTAATGATATAGGCCTGTAAGTGACAGACATGAGTTGCAGTCTGAAACATGTAGTGCATGTTGTGGTTCAAAAAATTTCATCCGACCCCCTCCCTCATTGGAAATGCACCCCCCCCCCCCATTAAAATTAAGATAAATTGTGTAGGGCATGTAGGTCATGGAAATGATGCAGGCTATCGGTCAAAGGATACATAAAATGAGATCTGGATGCAAGGAATAATATTAATAATGTTGGGTTCTTGTATATAGCGCACATAATATATCGATCAGACTTGACACGCCTGGCGCTCCCGATTATTAACCCGGCTTTAGGATGGCTGCCATTACGGTGCTCTAGCATTTCAAGAAATTGATTCTTTGCCAAGTACCCATTTACATCACCTGGGTTGAGTTTGGCAAATGTAGATCAATGTCTTGCGGCGGAACTCGAATCGCAGACCTTGTGATCCACAGTCCGGTGACGTATCCACTCGACCATGACACCGCTACATCTTAACAACACATTTAAAATCTGTAGGTAAATTATAACCATTAGATTTTAAATGTGTTGTAAA